CTAGTATCCGCTCACAAACCTCAATGAGGATATCCAATTTATATTTTCTTTGTGACCATGATCTTTTTCAAACCTATATCTGTAACCAGAAAGGAATTTAGACACCTCATAAGAAAGTGCATGAAACCTATGATTGTTTTTTTTATCCTGAGAAATGTCTTTGAAAAAATAAACGATACTTTACTTTCATACTCATGTGGCAATTTTATGGATTTTTTTGTTATTGCAAAGTAATAAGTTTACTGCCTGTATTAGGATCCTGAAAAGATTGCATTTCTTTAAGATCTTTTGGGAGACTTGGCCAATGAAGTATGAGTGTCCCTATCCAGTCAGATAAGTCCGCTTATTTCAGGAGCCTGTCTTCAAGAGTGGTCAATAGGTGATGCTAAGGGAGAACAGACATCCTCAGGCAACACTCTGCCTTCACATTCACAGTCTGTAATCAATACAGTATGATTTATTTTTTTCTTTAAACTTACACAGAGAATGCTCACAACAAAGCAACACAACCACTAATAGTTTATGCTCTGAAAAGGAATCTTTAAGAAGTAATGAGATATGGTGTGTAAAGTCCTAACTAACCTGGTATGCCCTCATATTTCAGCAGGTGGAGACCTCTTGAGATCCCTGAGAAGAGTGCCAGTGCATGCTCCCAAAAGGATATCTGAAGGATAACTGAAGAGGCATCTCCAGATCTAAAGCAAACAGGTCATTTCTACTTCAGCTGAAAGATGCTGTCCACATGTGGTAGCAACAGTGGATACTTTATAAATTTGTAGAAGTAGTCCAGCTATTAGAGAGGGGGAGCAGGCACACAGAGTTAATGTGAAAACACTGGAAGCTTGATACGTGGGGTACTGTATTAAAGCACTGGCTTGGGACTTTGTTTTCTTTACTACCTGCTTTACCAAACCGTTCCTCATAAATCCCTCCACAGAATCCTCTTCGGAGCTACCTGTAATTTCTTCCCTCTCATTTGATCAGTACTTAAAGGGGGCTTATAAAAAAGATGGCGGCAAACTTTTTAGCAGGGCCTGTTGCGGCAGGACAAGGGGGAATGGCTTTAAACTAAAGGGGGGTAGACTTAGACTAGAATCATAGAATCATTAAGGTTGGAAGAGACCTCTAAGATCATCGAGTCCAACCGTCAACCCAACACCACCATGCCCACTAAACCATGTCCCTAAGCGCATCATCTACATGTCTTTTAAATACCTCCAGGGATGGTGACTCAACCACTTCCCTGG